CTACTGATGAAGGGGCGCTACATTACTGTAATCCCAGGGGGACTAATAGAACCAGCAAGCTCTCATCCACAGCCGTCAGTCAGACTTGCAAAAATCTAAAGAAGTGGAACACCGGGAACCCAGGCATGACACATGCTTGGGGACTCTGAAGAGGGCCTGACGGCAACACACAAGGCCCAAGATGATCATCCCAGGCAGCTGATGAACATGCACAGTGCACAGTGGGACACAACGGAACGACACAAAGCAGGGGCTGGTGAGATAGCTGAATAAGTAAAAGAAACCATCCTGCAAGTCTAATGACCTCAGTCCAATCCCTGGAGCCTACAGTTTAAAAAAAAAAAAAAAAATGGAATAAAAAGCCAGATGCTCCCATCTGCAATCTCAGTGTTCCTACATCATGATGGGAGGCAAAGAGAGGAGAATCAGTCGGCTTGGAGCTCACACAGGCAGGACAGCAGAAACAAGAGAGATCCCACCTCAAAAATAAAGGGAACAGAATCTACTCCAACACAGCAGTCCTTTGCACACATGCCCCCAAAACAAAACAAGCAAAAAAAAACAACAAACAAACAAACAAACAAACCACCACTGCATGTTCATCAGAAGAACAGGGGGAAACACATGCCCTTCTCCACAGCTCACAGCACCCAGAGCTTTCATGGGATGAACTGGGGTGAACTGAACTTGCATGGGTAATTCTGAGAAACTTAACAGGAAGTGAAAGGCAAGTTGCAGAATGTCATCCATACTAAGCTCAGAAACAAGGAATTTTAGGGGGCACATGTGGAAAGGATGACTACCGAGTTCAAGGTCATGGTTGCCTCACGCTCAGAGAGGGCACAGGTGGGCACCGAGGGCACTTCCAGGGCAAACTGTCTTTCTTTCCACAGTCTGAAACAAGCGAGAATCCAGGCAAGCAGGAGGCGAGAGCACGGGCTTGTCAGGCATTTTTCTTGGTGACCTTCTGTGTACTTTAGAAACATTTCAGGAGTAAAATTCATTCAAGAGAATGAAAACTCCACGAATATTTGAGGAAACCTAAAAAAGATAAATGGTCCCAAAGGCGGATGACACTCTACCCTTCACAAGACCCTCAACTGCAAAGGAATGCAAGCCGGAGGGAACAAGTGTCATGCTGGAAGAGCCTGCAAGTGTGACGACGTCCATCCAGGAGCTTTGCTCTGTTATGAATTCTTTTCATTTTCTGAAAGGCGGCAACAGTTGCCCGAAGGGTAAAAGCCGATCATGGAGGGGACGCTAAGCATCTCCCATCAGACACATTTCCCCACCCACATATTAAGCCATGGCAATCCAAAGGCCAAAATAACCAAGCCTAGGACCAAGTCAGGTGCTTTAGATGCAAATTCTAAGAAATCAAGACTGTCGTTCTCAAGCCCCTTTGCCTCCCCATCCTTCAGCTGAGCTGAGACAGGCTCAGAGGGAGGGAGGTAACAGAAGCTGAGATTTGCTAAATAGAGCTCCCTGGCTTTTGCCACTCTGGAGCACAGGAGAGGTGGCCTGGGAGGAGGGACGGCAAGGAGAAGGCCAGCCTTCGCTCCTTGCCCTCCTCCCAGCCTTTCTACTGTGAAGAACCACCAGACCCAGGTTCAACCCTGGTTCAAAGGTTGAAGTCTCTGATAACTATAGAAAACTGGGCGACTTCAGACAATTGAGCTACCCTCTCTGAGCCTCGATACTCCACCTCTCTGGCAATGTTGCCGAGATAGAAAGATGCTAGATGGACAGAGCATAAACAGATGGATGAGTAAAGTATGTACAACAGCAGGTGGCATGTACTTGGAGTTTAGGAAACAGCCCCATTTGTTACTCCTTTCTTGTCATTCATTCTCACTGACTCTCCTCAGACTCGGACACTTCTGTGGCATTTAGAGAAGGCTATGACCCTTTCTGATCCATGCCCTCTAAAAGGGGACCGTCTGGGCAAGGGAATGCCTGATGTTCGCGGGGCAATTGACTGTGTCGCTTAGACCCAAAAGCAAACCACAGAGAGATATGTAAGAGCTCATGCGCTGCTACCTTCCCTCACACGATCATCTCAGCTCGGGAATTTCCTAAGAAATCAAGAGCTGCTGGCACGGGAGATGACTCCATGGGCAAAGAGCTTGCAGTGCGGACATGAAGACCTGAGTTCAAGTTCTAAGAACCCACATAATATGCACCTGAAATGCCAGTGTTCCCACAGCAAGATGTGGGGCAGAGCCAGGAAGATCCTTGGGAGCTCAAAGGCCAGCTAGTCTGGCTTATGTAGAATCAAAACAAGGAACCCTGTCTCAAACACGGTAGAAGACAAGGCCTCTGTTATTCTCTGACCTCCACAAGAGCACTGTGGCACGTGCATGCTGCCAGCACTCACACGCATCAACACACACACAAACACATCCCACACAATAGAGTCGGGGGCTCTTTAGGACATTCCCAGGAGTCTTGAGCTGCAGCCAGACTATAACTTGCAACAACTGTTCCAAAGAATCTAGAATTGCTTCTCCACCCTAAGCCTCAGTTTCCCCATGTATAATATAAAGCAAAGCACTGGTAGACGGTGTCTGAGTCATTTTTCTATCCTTAAGGCACCCACTCTTTGTCTCTGTGGATATGAATTCAACAGTGGGCAAATGCACACCATCTATTCCAGATGTATTCAGCATTTGAAAATAGTGTCTGGGTTCACATGGAGGTCTTCCTACAGGAGATCCCTCCTCCTGTCTAAACAGAGCAACTGAGAACCAGAGCTCATCAGCTCTTTGAAAGGCAGGCTGGAGCTGCCCAAAGAAATCAGGTTCCTGGCTACTGGGAAGACCTAGTCCCATGTACACTTACTTTGTATCTATCAGAGACAATTTATCCAAAGGGCCAGGGGTCAGACCTGCCTCCCATTCCTATGGATCCAAGGGCTTCTTCAATTCAGTTCACTTACCCACTACCTTTCATCATGTACTAAGTAAATGAACAATTGTTTGGCTTATCACTTCCTATTAGGAAAGGAACTCGGGTGTTGGGGGGAGGGGCACGGCACACCAGTCTGTTGCCGCCAAGTAAGGGTGGAATGCCTATTAACCAATGTATCTTCTTAAATAGCTTAATCCATTAAACCGGTCCATCCTGCTTCTACAGTCTGCTCACGTGGCACCCTCCCTTCCCACTGAGCTGACAAGGGGCCCTCCATCATGAGGAATTAACTGGTGTCTCGAGCAAATACTGTTGGGACATCTAGTGAGCACTAGAATTCAGTAGTACTTACTGTGGAGTCCTCAAGGATCACAGCTCTCGGAGCAATTTACCAATGCAAGAGGCCTGTCAGATCTGATGAGTCAGGGAACTGAAACCCTTGGATGAACCTGTTTGGGCTTTCCAGACTATGAAAGGTGGTTTACAGCCAACTGAAAACAAAGTTTAAAATTAAGGAGGACTGGATGTGGGCACACCTGTAATCCCTGCACTCGGGAGGCTGAGGTGGAGGAACTGACCTCGGGGCCAGTTTAGGTTACAGTTTAGGTGAACTGCCATCCCAAAAGAAAGAAAACAAAACTAAAGCTACAGAGTTCTCATTCCAGACACATGACAACCCATGTGCCCCAAATGCCAATACCATTCCATCCAACCTCAGGGAGCAACTTTGACACCATGACTCAGTTTACCCATTTACAAAAGGGAAACAGAACAAACCCTAACCTAACAAGCTCCACGGGTAGTCAAAGGAAAAGGCCTATTTCACTTTAAAAAGGAGAAAAGTACAAATTCAATGGAAACATCCAGGTTTTCATCCATTTTATGACAACACACAGATAGAGGCCATAAGATTAACCACAGCTCACTTCTTAAAGGTATTATTATTCACTATTAAAGAGTTACTATTCTATAAAAACTAGGTGTCATGTAGATACATAATATGTCATTTCCCAAGGCATACCACTATAATGTAGCTACATGATTAGTAATTAGAAGATGGGTGATCTGAACCGCACAAGGATTCACCCCACACTGAATACAATAGAATCGTTCTAGGTGAGATGAGAGAGCAGAAGAAGTGAGCTGTTCATTAAGAAATGATTTTTCAATAAATTCAATAGCATGCCCCACAGTGTAGCTCCTAGTCTTCTGGCTACTGCATTGATCTCTGCTAATGGGGACAGCTCAGAAGGAAGGCACTGGCAAGGAGTCAAAAGGCTTGATGAACACTGAGACCATGATTCACTTCCAAGCAGGATGCAGCCCTGCAGGTCCCTCTCTCCTTAATCCCCAGCATTAGCTGGTTCCTACCCTCATCCATCCTCATGCAGTCACCACTGGCCTCCTACTCTCTGAACCTAATGGCTACTTTTCTATATTTACCTCAAGCACAACATTTTTGCTATTGCTCTTGAGGCGGAGTCTCACCATGTAGCCCAAGCTGGCTTCAAAACTCAACCTTCCTGCCTCTCAGCAGGAGTGCAGGATTACAGATGTGAGCCACCATACCTGGTCTATGTGCAAAGTTCTGCCGCACTGGGCGACCTGGATCAGCCCTTCCTTCTAAGTTACATCCCTTCAGTGACCTATACCTCCTGTTGCCCTGCCTCCCATGTACACCCTCGGAAGCAGCTTCCTCCATCTACCCCTCAATAGTCTCAGGGCTCTGATTCCTTTGGCACAAGCAACATATGGCTTCCCTGAATAAGCCACCTTGTCCACTATTAGATTTGACCTTCAAGGTGAAACCCCAACCTGATACCTCTCTTCTCTGGCTAAGTTCTTCTCCTTTCAACTCCATCCTGTACCCAAGCTTCACGGTTTCATCCCCTACCACCAAACGTATTTCCATGGCAGCATCAGCTTACCATGTCTAAAACAGAACTCTAAGTTTCTCTAAGCTCACTCCTCCTGCCATCCAACCCTCCCCGTTATTCCCACTCACACAGGTCAGCAGGTGGTATTTCCCACACATCTTTCCTCTCTACCCTTGCCTCCCCCAACCCTAGAACCAATCTGTCCCTTATTACCTGCAACCTCATTGGCATTTCTCGGTCTGCAGAAGCCATCCTTCACTGGTCCCTCGAACAAACCTCACCACTACGTGCAATGCTTGCAACAGTCCCATAGCTCCATCCCTTAAGGGTAAAGTTGGAGACCCTGGGGTCGGGGGTGGGGCTGCCGGGTGGGGGGGCTCATACCCACCTAGTCCTTCCAACTTATGCAAACTTCTGCCACTTCACATACCATAATGCTCTAGAAACTTCTGTTGTTCCCAGCTGCCCACTCAGCACAAGCAGCTTTTATACAACAGAATGGCCCATCCATGTCCTAATGTAGCCCTGGGCCCAGACAGAAAATTTAAAGGAATGGGGGGCGGTGGACAGATGAATGCGAGGGTGGATGGATGAAAATACTGGCAGCTGCTTCCTTGCTCTATATTATAAAAAGCATGCCACCAAACATCTTGTGGATTATTCCCACAAGTTAGGCTGATTTCCACATTTGTACATAGTTCAAGATTTATGGAACTAAAAAAATCCTTCATGCTTAGATATTATAATAATAACTTGATCCAAACTTGCTTACTAAGAAATAAATCCATACTATTATTCTATCTCACGAAGAGCTCATAGATCCTGAGATTTTTCTAAAAAACCGTCTCCACCTCTAAGTACAAACTAATCATTCTTCAAGCCAAAGGTCAGAGGCAGCTCAACATTAGCAGGTGAGAGCTTGCCTGCCGAGCTCCTGGTACAAAGACTGTGCAGAATGGTGTGGGTTGTCAGTGGTACCTGACACAGCTACCCATGAGCAAAGCCAACCTCCGGTGAACGCCCATCCTCGCAAAGCCAGCTCACAGAAGTCAAGGTCAGCTCCACAAGCTGGGAAAAAGAGCCAGGCCCACACACGTCCAATGAGTGACACAACCCTGAGAGTCCGCCCTGTGTTGCCATGAGCCTCGGACTGAGACAGTCTTTCAGCTACGTCTACAGGCCCAGCCATAGAAAAGCCAATCCCCTCGCCCTATGGGAAATCCCCAACCATCAGCACCCTACCCTCGGCCTTTATTTGTTTCTCTCTGTATCTAGGGAGCAGTGACAGCTGCAGCCAGCCCAGTGGCATTTGAGGCTGGGACTCTCATCCAGAGCAAAACAGTAAGCCCTTTGCTACTGGAGGTGATGAGGATGGCCTGGCAGCAAAGAAGGTACTAAATCAAGAGCTGCCCTTTGTGGTCCATGGCTCTAGGAGTGCTAGAATTAGGTCCCCAGCTAGCCTGGTGGTTTTTCAGCCCTTGCATCCTCTGAACTAGAAAGGAACCCAGCCTGTTAACCAGTAAGGAAGGAGGCAACTCTTCCATGCTCTGGACATGACAAGTACCGGCTCCATGGGCACTTGTCGAGAGAGTTTAGGGAGCAGGATGACATGAAGGATGCCAAAGGATAAAGAAGCACACTCATCCAGAGCCACACGGACCCCAGCACCTCTCGCCACCTCTCTCCTTGATTCATGAGTGTGCCTTGATGCTAACCACATGAAGGGTCACAGATTTTAGGAGCTCGCTCTCACTGCACGCTCTCAATAATCAGCTCCAGCAGGCTCCCACCCCAGCCTGGCACGGCTCACATCACAATCTACCCTATGCTGCAAGCTGATAATGCATTTACAGACAGCCAGGACTCTGCAGCCAAAAGGAAAAATTTCACCTAATTAAATAAAAACAAAGCAGAAAACCAAAGCCTTCAACTAGTGCCAGAAATAAGCGCAACTTGATCTTTTATGGAACTTTCAAGGCAGGAATGCCAACATTTTTTTTCCCTAAACGCATCTTTTAAAACAATCCTCTGTGTCGCTAACTATAATCCCTTAAAGAATCAATAAACAAACTACAAACAACCCAGAAGAAAATGGATACAGGGAATGAGTGACCAAAGCACTAATTTGAGATGCCAGATAAGCAAATGAAAAGGTCTAGGCCTGGGGAGATTGCTCAGTGGTTAGTGTGCTGGCCAGGTAAATGTGAGGACCCAAGTTTGGATCCCCAGAATCAGGTAAGGACCAGGTGGACATGGTGGCTTCCCTGCAATCCAATCTCAGAAGGCAGAGACAGGATCTCCAGAGCAAGCTGGCTTACAAGACTTGCCATAACAGACCGTTCTGTGTTTTACTG